AGTAGTAGTAGTAGTAGTAGTAGTAGTAGTAGTAGTAGTAGTAGTAGTAGTAGTAAGTAGTAGTCAGAAGTCATTGTTAGTAATGGTGTTTAGTAGTCGTCCCTACTATAATCGTTCAACAAATTCTCAATAATAGTAGTGGTAGTGGCAATGGTAGTTGCAGTAGCCGTGCTGGTAGTGGTCGTAGTAGTAATTTGTAGTCGTTGTAGTAGTAGTAGTAGTCGTAGTCGTCGTCGTCGTACTTGGTAGTAGTACTTAGTTGTAGTGTTTAGTAGTAGTGTCTAGTAGTAGTGCTTAGTAGCAGTCCTTAGTGGTAGTGCTTAGTAGTAGTCGTAGTAGTAGTAACAGCAGCAGCAGCAGTAGTAGTGGTAGTGGTGGTAGTCGTGGTAGTGGGTATAGTTGTAGTAGTGGTAATGGTAGTAGTAGTTGCAGTAGTCGTAATGGTAGGTGTAGTGGTAGTAATTTCTATTTGTGGTAGTTGCAGTAGTAGTCGTCGTAGTTATAGTGCTAGTGCTAGTGGTAGTAGTGAGTAGGAGTAGCAGTAGTAGAGCAGTGGTAGTGGTAGTGGTAGTAGGAGTAGTAGGGTAGCAATAGCAGCAACAATGTTAACATCCGTGTGATGAACCATGAGACAATAGTAATCAGTTTTTTGCCAGCCCGGATTTTGCAACAGTACTTTTAATTGCGCCAACATCCAGACCCCAAAATGGATCAGAATTTAGTTTATCAATTGTAAACCTGAGACAATCGTAGTCTGCTTTTTGGCCTGCCAGAATTTTACAATACTACTTTTGATTGCGCCAACATCCAGACCCCAAAATGCTTTCAGAATGCTTCCTCTTTTCATCTCAGAATTCTTTCGCTTGTCAGGACTCGAACTTGGACAGAGTAAACTGAGTCTCTTTGCCAGAGCCTAGCCAAAACAAAAACTTTGGCTGGCCAAAAGCTTAAGGTGTCATTATTCAAACCCTATCAAAAGAAAAAAATGTCTTCAAAGGGTACCCGGTTTTAGACTCTCACCCCTTGGAATTATAGACAAACCTACAATAAGCAACCCCCCTCCAGCCCTGCTGGCTTGTCCCTGCCTTCCGCTTCCCCTTTTACTTTTAAGTTCCTCTATTTTCTTCTGTATTCGTTTGTTTTTTTCTTTTTTTGTCGAATCTCTAGTTTTAAAGTATGTAATCTTTGCCCATCAGAATTCCAAAAACATTGGCTAGCCAAAAGCTTTAGGTTTCCTTTTTCAACCCCTATCAAGCAAATGCAACAAATTATCTTCAAAGGGTACCCCTTTAGACTCCCACCCCCTGCAATTCTCAACAAACCTACAATATCCTACAATAATCAACCCCTCTCCAGCCCTGCTGGCTTGTGCTTTCCCTTTTACTTTTAAGTTCTCCTATCGGCTTCTTCTTTCTTCTTCTTTCTTTGCTTTTTTTGTGGAATCGTTAATTGTTGTTTAATCTTTGCCCATCAGGTTTCCAAAAACATTGGCTAGCCAAAAGCTCTAGGTTTCCATGTTCAAACCCTATCAAACAAGTACCAAAAATTATCTTCAAATGGTACCCCTTTAGACTGGACAGGGGTTCGTTTGTACACGCGGAAATCGGATCGGTCTGTACACGCGGTGACGGGGATCGTCTGTACACGCGGGGATCGTATGTACATGCGGCTTCCGTATGCGGGGTGCCTAAACAGTGGCCATACTTTGGGTTCTTACGGTAGGTGCAAAGGCCGGGTGTTGATCCAGGGTGCTCAGATGTGTGTGAGCCCCACCCCTCCCCACCCAACCCACCCCAACCCCACCCCACCACCGCACCCTTACTTCAACACTGGGATATTAGATATGAATGCCAGTCGAAGTGAACGCCACCCCACCCCACCCCACCCGATGTGCCCTGCGCAGATGATCCAGATTTGTGTGCGCAGATGATCCAGATCTGTGTGCGCAGATGATCTTGGCTGTGTGCGCAGATGATCCTGATCTGTGTGCGCAGATGATCCTCTGTCCCTTTAGACTCCCACCCCGTGCAATTATAAACAAGCCTACAATAATCAACCCCCCTCCAGCCCTGCTGGCTTGTCCTTGCCCTGCGCTTTCCCCATTACTTTTAACAAGAAAGATTTTCTCAACGAGCGCAATGCAAGAGGCCAGGGAGGACTTGAGCCTATCTTTCAATGAGTTTCTTCCCCCCAGAAAGGAAAAGCGCACACCGTAGGACTTGAGCGCAGGCCCTCTGGCTTCTGAACCCTACTGCAGCACCACTAGGCCACACAGGCTGTTGACAACAGGGTGAAAGTATGAAATCTGCCTGCCTGTCAGCCGCGGCCATCCTGAACTACTTTAAGCCACAAAACCAAAAAAGCGCCAACCAGGACAAACTGAGCACACTGCAAGCAGTAGTCATTTTTGCTCGAGGTGGACAATCTGTCCTTCCCTGCCTCATGGCTGCAGAACTGCGGCCCCCGGGCACACTGAAGAAGTCACTCATTGCCCTTTGAGCAGTCTCTTGGTCGTGGAGGGCGCTTTGAACCAAAACGACGCCAAAATGAAAATTGCACAAAGTGGCTTGGTTGGTTGTTGGCTGGTTGGAACAATGGAAGCACTGCTTGTGTCTTCTGGCTTTAGAAGCAGTTGATGCCCAGGCAGGACACAATCCTCACAATCCTCTTCCTTGCCCAAAACAGAGCAAGACACCCTAAAGTTACTGACAAAGCCTGTGGCAGCCTCACTCAATCACAACAATACACAGAGGAGCCAGCAAGCCTGCTCTGTAGCAATGCATGTCTTCTGGCAAGAGAAGCAATGCTTGGAAGTGTTTCGATGCTCACGCAGGACACAATCCTGCTTCCTACTCCCACCCCCTGCAATTCTCAACAAACCTACAATATTCAACCCCCCTCCAGCCCTGCTGGCTTGTCCTTGCCTTGCGCTTTCCCTTTTGCCTTTAAGTTCTCGTATCTTCTTCTTCTTTCTTTTTCTTTTGTGTGGAATCTCTATTTTAATCTTTGCCCATCAGAATTCCAAAAACATTGGCTAGCCAAAAGCTTTAGGTTTCCTTTTTCAACCCCTGTCAAACAAATACGAAAAATTGTCAAAGGGTACATGGTTTTAGACTCACCCCTTGGAATTATAGAGAAACCTACAATCATCAACCCCCCTCCGGCCCTGCTGGCTTGTCCTTGCCCTGTGCTGTCCCTTTTCTAACAAGAAAGAGTCCGTCTCTTGATCATGGAGGGTGCTTTGAACCAAAACGACACCAAAATGAAAATTGCAGAAAGTGGCTTGGTTGGTTGTTGGATGGCTCCGCTAACAAGAACTGGAGGCTGTTGCCTGTTAGCGGAAGCACTGCTTGTGTTTTCAGACAACAGAAGCAATGCTTGGAAGCGCCTGGATGGCCAGGCCGGACACAATCCTTTTCTTTTCCCAGAACTGAGCAAAGACACCCCAAAGTTACCCACGAAGCTTGTGGCAGCCTCACTCAATCACAACAGGACACAGAGGAGCTAGCTTGTATGTCTTCTGGCAAGAGAAGCAATGCTTGGAAGTGCCTTGATGCTCAGACAGGACACAATCCTGCTTCCGCGCTCAGAGCTGAGGAAAGATTCCCCGAACTCACCCACAAGGCCTGTTGTGGCATCCTCATTTTTCATTTTGGTGACAACCCACGATGCAGTGTGCTCTGTTTGTCCTGGTTGGCGCTTTTTGGTTTTGTGGGCTCAACTCGTCCCATGTGCATGTTCTAATTGGAAGTGCGCTCAGGTCCCTCTCCCTCCTCCAGTCTCTTCCTCTTCTTCTTCTTCTTCTTCCTTTTTCTTTCTTTCTTCTTTTTGAGATTTTGACTACTAGTATTAGTAGGAGACCTAGTACTAGTAGGAGA